TCTACAAATACCTATGTTTTCTGATTTCCTCTTATTCATCACTTTGGTTTACTCGTAACTTCTGCTGGCTCACGATTTCTGTTATTCATGATCTTTCATGGCCCTTCTGCCCTATAGCTTTGCTACCTTTATTCTCTAGATTTTGTTGTTGTTGTTGCTGTTTTTACAGAAATTGTGGTTTGTCTAATTTAATCCCCAGTGCTCTGGTTGAACAACACTCTTGCTCTATGACCTAATGGCCTATAGATCACCCTTGGTCTGTACACATCTTGTCTGATCAGCCATAGCTAAGAAGACAAGGTCCCAATGGTGCCAACAGGAATATATTTGCTTAAAGAACTGCCTGGAACCTTTCTTCAGCAAGGAAGGAAGGCAGCTTCTAGAGGAAGGTATTCTGAAGCTTGGTCTATCCTCTGCAGCAAGTATCTCAAACTGGAAACTAGAACTGAGTAGGAAGAAATCATCTAGAACCTTCAAACTTCAGAAAGGCCTAAGTTTTAATACAGAAAGGACTTTGGCACTGGACTGGGCATAAAGAACATCAGAGGCCCAGGAACACAGACAATGGCCAGACAACACCAAGCTATGTTACCTTGGACACCAGGAGGGGGAAAAACCATACTTTGGTACCAACTCTATATTACAATAAAGACCTTTCGGGGCAGGGGGGTTAATAAAGTATGTTGATATTTCTATTGGGATAGTAGATTCTAAAGCTATAATTTAGAGAATTTACTATGATTGAGTTGTTTTCATCTGATATTTTCTCTTCCCTTACCTTTTAAGGGTCATCTGTGAAAATTATAGCCTATCTTACCAATGTTAACAGACAGGCCAATGTAAGGGCAGAGTGGTGCATGCCCTATGTGAGAGCGATGCAGGGAAGGTGAATCTCAGTGTCTCTTGTCCTAGAATCTGTTCTTTGGGGTTACTATTTGTTTTAGTCTTTGTTTCACACAGCCAAGACTGGCCTAAGGAGGCATGACAACTAAATGTATTATGGTATCCTGAATGGGACCACGGAACAGAAAAAGGGTGTGGGGGGAAAAATGAAATAAACCTAAATAAACTATAGACTTTAGTTATTATTAATAGGGAAAACTTGGTGTGATGTAGTGGGGAGAGGCATAGGTGAACTTTTTCTGTAATTCCAAAACTGTTCCAAAAAATAAAGTCTATAATTAAAAAAAGAAAAGATTCACCCTAGCAATACATAATTCAGACACTTATCCAGTCCCTTGTCTGACACTGCAAATAACCTGTACTTCTTTATAAATATAAAAGATGAATTATGCAGCTAGGAGAAGATTATTAGAAAAAAATGTTACCATCATCATTTGTTGGGCCGGCATTTGAACTTGTCAACCATCAAGGATCCAAACTGTCATCTTTTTCTCTTCAAAATGCAACCTTAAGTTACTAACAGAAGAACTTAACGAGGAGACGCAGCACACTACAATTCTAATGCCATCCATGACTCTGACCTTCAAGTCTTCACATGATGGCTACTTGACTAAAAAATAAAAAAATAAACAACAGCAGAAAGCGCTGAACAAGTGGTACTTGACGGAGTGCTGGAACAGAACAGTGAGTTCCTCATAATAAGAAAACTACTAACAAGAGCCTTTTCAGACATAATCAGCTCAGGAAAGAAACGGCAGAACAGAATGAACATTCTAATTCAATTTATATTAGTATATTGATGGTGCATTTTTATAGTGCTTGTTTTTGCCAACACTGTCAAGCACATTAAGCTAAGTTCTGCACAACAGAATTCAGAATGTTGAGTAGGAGAGCTGCACTGTAAAATTCCTCACCTTCAAAAGTCTTTAAGGGAATCCACAAACACCACCTTCCTGGGTAGCTATGACCTGGGAATGACAGCAAAATCTCCCGAGAAATGTTTGTCAACGTTTCACTTCTCACTTCTTTCCACTGGTTCTTGAAAGAGGATGATTACACCAGTTTCCCAGACTTCGAGGCCAAGAATAGGAAAGTAAAAGCCCAGTTTAGTGTCAGCCGTGGTGGGGAGCCTCTCTCAGAGGCTGAAGGTGATGGGTTAGGGGGCGGTGTTGAGGAGGGCCGCCCCTGCAGAGTCCCAGCTGCTGCCCCACCTGCTGCCTGTTCCAGGGCACACCCTCCTGTCCTGATCAAGGCTATCACAGTGACACAGCTCACTCCAGCCTGCCGGGGGTAAAAGGGACTTTTATTTTAAAAACAATCTCACAGATGTTCAAAAAGCCAGAAATGAAACAGAGTCAGGCCACATGGGAACACGAACTGCGGGCTTTGATAGTGAGGCTACACCTGCCTTTCCTCTGCAGGCCCCTAAGTCTCTCAGCTCTGATTCCCATCGGCATCTCTGCACCCCTGCCCCTCTGGGCAGCCTGGCTCTCAGGGCCTATTCAGGGATCCCCAGCTCCCCCTAGTTCAGTCCTCATGGGGCTTTGGCCTGTCGCAGTGCCAACCCTGGATCCCACTCTGCGTGACCTTTTGGCTTAAGCACTCATCCTCTGGCTCTGCCTTTCAGTGTCTCAATTAAAGAACCCCCAGAGGACCCGGGAGTGATGCCCAGGACAGATGGGGTCCTGTTACATAAAATAGACCTACCGCTTTCAGGGACTGAGGGTAGGGAGGAGGTGCGGGGGAGTGAGGTCTCTAAGAATGGACTGTGAGCCGGGAGGAAGTAATGGACTTAGCAATGCCCCCATCTCCTCTTTAAAATTTAATTTATATTATTATAGTCATAACTTGGACTCCTGATTAAAAAAAACAGAAGAACAAGAATAAACACACATTTTTAAATGCCTGTAGCCCCACCACCCAAACAGAAACTACTCCAAACAATTTGCACAGCCTTTCAGAACTGTAAAAATATACAAGTATTTATAAACACACTAACATTTTTAACAAAAGCAGGATCACTTTATAAACATTACTTTAAAATCTGCATTCTCACTTAAAATTATATGTAAATATACTGGATATATTGATTATATGCATGCCAATGAAAATACTGTAAATCAATATCTTTTTAAATTGCTGTATAGTATTCATTTTAAATAAGTCAACCAGGCAATTCTTTTTGACTTTTAGGTCATCTCGATTTTTTTTGTTATTAATAAAAAAACATTTAATCAACATCCTTCTATACCTATGTCTGTACAATCTCCTGAAACTCTCATTAGTATAAATTCTTTTAATCTTATTTAGAAGGCATGAGACATATGTCCATTCTGATATACATTCCCATGGGTATTATATCTTTATTTGGTCTTAGTTCCATTTCTGGGGCAGAGTTCCTTAAAGCCCTTGGAATTTACTGTGCTGAGGGTGATAAAGGTACCTTTTGTTATGTTAATGAGGTGACTTGTGGCGTGCACCTGAGGATGGGGGCCGGTTCCCAGTGGAGCCAATCCTCTGATTAAGGAGTTGGAACTTTTAGTTCCCTCCCTGCCCCCAGCACCTCCTGAGAGAAGAGAGAGGCCAAAGATTGAGTTTAATCACCAATAGGCAATGATTTAGTCAATCATGCCTATGTAATGAATCCTCCGTAAAAACCCAGAAGGACAGGGTTCAGAGAGCTTGCAGGTTGGTGAACACGTGGAGCTTTGAGATTTAGGGAGTGGCACATTGGGAGAGAGGACATAGAAGCTCCTCACTCTTTCCCACATACGTCACCCTATACATCTCTTCTATCTGGCTGTTCCTTAGTTTATTCTTTTATAATAAACTGGTCACCTACTTAGTAAAATGTTTCTCTGAGTTCTGTGAGCTGCTGTAACAAATTAATCAGACCTAAAGGGGAGGGAGGAGGGGTTGTCAGAGCCTCTGATGTACAGCCAGAAGGTCAGAAACACAGGGAATAGCTTGCATTAGTGACCTGCATTTGAAGTGGTGACGTGTAAGGGCAGTCTTATGGGACGTCTCAGTCCCTTGGGGTCAGACACCATCTCCATGTAAATAGTATCAGAATTAAGTTAAGTTGTAGGGTACCCAGCTGGTGTCGGACAACTTCTTGGTAGTGTGGGACGAACACCATGCACATTGGAATTGGGAGCAGGAGCTTACCTGGGAATTATCATTCCCTTTAAACTTTCTCAGTTTCTTCTTAACTGGCTTATTTTCACCTACCTTGCCATTTGTGTGGCAACTTGATCTAAAATTGAATGGGTTATAGCTTCCTTTAGACCAAAGATACTGTATCTGTGACTCTCCGTGGCCAGATGCTTCATTTGAGACAGCATTATGTTCAGTCTGACCTTTTTCTTCTTCACTGCCTTTGTAACTTGCTAAAATATTTGTATTGAGCATCTGCCTTCCCTTTACCAGCTGGGTTGAATCCAGAAGTATAGCTTTCCTTCTCTGTGTGAAGCTGTCAAATATAGCACCACCAGGTTTAACCCAAAGAGTTTATTGAATATTCATCTTTGATCAAACAGTGCAGGCCTATCTGACGAAAGAAATTGACAGAGCCTGGTAATTTACCTGAGGGCCTTATGCTGGATCAGGCTTTGCCATAATGGTATCTTCTCTGTCTTATTCATTTGACTACCCATTCATGTGTTTGTTCATTTATCCATCCATATTTGCCAAGGAGAATTAAGCTATAATTCTCTGCTATAAAGATTTATAAGCTATAAATCTCTTAGGGGAGATATTTTGATAGAGTCATCCTGAGATACAACTTTTAATATTAAGTAGTTCAGCAAGGACAAAGGAGAAATGAGTAGATATTTATTTGACAAATTTAGGTGACCAAGGACAGAATATTTTAATTTTTTTAATAAAAGCAATGTATGTTTATTGTATGAATTTCCTCAGATGTAAGGAAAATCATCTGTAATTGTATAACCCAGAGATAATCAACAGGAATAACACATTTATTTCTATTTTATGAAATCTAATTTCAGCATGATCTCAAATAATGGCCACCAAAGAATCACTTCCAAAAGGGCCTTTAGGATGCAACTGAAAACACCTTTAAAATAGTTGTTTACATACTTACCTGGCAGGGGAGATCCCATGATCACGAAGGTGGTTTTCCCAGGGCGAGGCTTACACACTACACTCCAGATGCGCTGACCCCTGCACTCTCCCCAAATGTGGGAAACTCAGTTGCATGATTTGTGGTAGTGGGGGACTGTGTTCATGCTCTGCTTGAAAAATTTTTTTAAAAAATTGTTGTTTACATAAAATGAATGATAATTAACCACTAGGAAGAAATACAGTGGACATCTGGGCAGTGTTTTTTGGAAGGAAGGAAGGAAGGAAGAAAGGGAGGGAGGGAGGGAGGGAGGGAGGAAGATGGTTATATGACCAGGGAGAAGTAGAGATGAAATAAATTGAGAAAATTATACACAGGAGAATGGAAATCGCTGGTGTTTATAAAAGCCAAGGGAAGATATAGAAGAAGGAGAGATAAATGGCCAGTTCAGAATAGATCCTTTTATTAATCAGGATCTTATAAAAGTTGCAAGTGATAAAAACTCAGTGTGAAGCAGAACACACAAAAAAGGGGCTATTTTTTGCAACCATAGTGGTGTATTTCCAGTAACTGAAGGAAGATCAAATGAACAAATCGATGCAGAGTTAAGCTGTGCCTCCCAAACGATAAGAACCAGGGACTCAAACACCACTAAGACTCTTAGTGCATCTCTTACCTTGGCTTTTCTCTGGTGTCATGTGTATCATCATACCCCACTGCAGACCGTCTGACACCACATGATAGAAAACATACCTGCCCAAGGCTCACAGGCTTCCTGCTCCAAGCCTCGCACAACCAGAGAGGAACTGACCTCCTTAGTTGCAGTTAGGAAAATCCCCAGGATTACTCTGATTGGCCCACTTTGGATAATTTGTACACCCCTGAACCAATCACGTGTGAGGCTGATTTGACAAATTTAGGCGACCAAGATAGGTTATGTCAAGTAAGAACATGGACGCTCCCTCTAGAATCACATGGTTGGAGTAAAACCAAAAAAGAGTCTGAGATTTTTTTTTCTGGAAGTCTCTGGACACACAAACTAGAAATTTCCATGACTTCTCTCAAAGCAGCATGTTTCAAACCATTTGGAAGAAGTTTGAGAGGTAACAGCAGATCATTGCAGCTTCCTATTTCTTTAGAAAGCATAAAACAGGCAGGCTTCCCCATGGGTCACCCCACCAATGCCTGTCTGGTTAGGGGGGTTTCATTCAATTCCTAGAAGTAACCCCCCCATGCCCCTGACATAGTGTGTCATGAAACACTGAGTGCCCAGAAAAACAAATGCCTTCAAAGCCAATTTAAGCCTTTTTTTGCTCAAGAGTCTTTCACAAATTTCAAACTTTGAAACTGGTCCCCTAATATTATAGTCCATGAGCAAGCCAGACTAGAAGGTGGCGTGTAAGGCATGGAGTTTTGGGAACGGGTGACACCATTGTTGGTGTGAACTCCCTTGTGCTGAGCAGTTTATGTCAAAGCCTAAGGAGTTACTCCTGAGGAAATGGGGAGATGAGTGGGAAGTCGGCATGACATTCAAGAGGAAGAGAACCAGCCTGTGAGTCAGGTCTTACTTGGAACAAGCAGCCGCAGCTTTAGTGGAAAGCTCAGGAATCATTCGCTGACCCTCAGAAAACACTATACACAAACCTGTTATTTTCCTCCCTCCCTCCTTCCCTTCCTTACGTCCTTCCTTCCTTCCTCCCTCAATCTCTGATTAGGCATCTTTGTTTCCTTTCATTTATCTAGGACACTTTGGTAAGTGAAGTAAGATTTTGCTTCAAGGACATACCAACTGTCTCTATGGCCCAACTTTTTAAAAACAGACCATCATTCTAGTGCATCTGTCCTGCTGGATTACAAGCTCCATGACAACAAGGATCTGTTTTCTACCATTATCTCTCTTCCCTTTTTAGGTTCTTAGTGAATTATGGCTAGTAGGGCTCAGTATTTGTTCAATTTAATTAATATGTAATCATAAAATACTTGGACAGAGTAACAATGTCTACAATTAAAGGATGCTCAAAACACATTCTGTAAGTAAGATTTTGCTAATCCACCCTTTCGGTTACTTTTAAATCTTACTGAGGTCATACCAACCAATATTTATTAAGTGGCCTACTCTGTACAACTAATTGTGCTCAGCACTCATACAATGGAAGTTCAATAAAATTATCACTACAGCTCCGAAAAGACGGATGCTCACAAAGCAAGCTGAGACTTTTACAGAAATAAAGAGTAGGCCAGCTAAAATTTAACCACTATTTGCTGTCAAGATGTGGGGGATGAAACTGACAGATTCAGGCTGGCTACACATCTCAGCCCCCTTCAGCACCAAGAAACCCAGCAGGCTAATCCCAGTATTTTGCTGCTGCTCTCGTTACTGTTTTAAGAATAAGCAGAGTGAGTCAGAGGGCCATTATTTTTCTCCAGTGTGTTCTCCAGAGAAGAGCATGGAGAGCTACTCCATTTGAAGAGTCTACATTAATGTAGAGCCATTGCCATATATTAACTAGATTATTCAGGAACCATTTGCAGGCCACTTAAAACTCCAATGTGCGTAACTGCACATTTGGACAGTTAACAGCATCATCTAGTTTTAATTTTTCCTTATGTTACTCCTTTTTTGCATGTTTAAAGGCTCCTTTTTCATTCAACAAAAGCAAGTGTTTTCCCTTAAATTTTTTTAACTCAATATCAGATGCATTGCCAAAGAAGAAATCTTTTCCCTTCTCTCCGGATATGATGCTCCTAATGTTGTAAAAATTTTAGGGAAAATGTAGCAAAGCCAATCTAAGTGAGAAGCCTGAATTTCCCAGGTCATCCAGCTCCAGAAATGCCATGAGATTGAATTTTTGCTTCTTAGTCATCCTGGGAATAAATAGGTATGACCCAGGCTCTGACACTGAGAAGATACAATATTCTATAGAAATATCACAGGTCTTTTGTCATCCATGACAGATGTGGGACATAAAGAACAGTAAACAGAACTGTTAGTCCAACCACATCTCATTCATAAATTCTGCCACTCCCTCCCATGAAGGCCTGGATTCTCTTTGCCTCGATTAAAGGAACCAGTAATTCCTGTAGCCTTTCCTCCTTAGCCATGTTCAATGTGCAAAGAGATGATTATCACCTTCCACCATTCCATCAGGAAAATGTCAAATACCAGCTAGAAGTTGAGATTTATGTGTGTGTGCGTATATATGTAAATGTACTATATATATATGTATTGTGTACATATGTATGTATTATATATGTATATGTTTGTATATACATATGCTTATGAGTATAGGTATATGAATGTTTTCTTTAGGATTAGATTGTGGACTGCTAAAAGCCCCTGAACTTAAGCCTCTAACTATCTGGATGCTTTATTCCTTCGCACTATTCCTTTGCTTTTTTTCCTTTCATTTTCCAACTTTTTCTCTGCTCTCTAAGCTCTGTTCACATGAGCTGACTTCCAGCTCCTGAAGTCCACCAGGGTGTAGCTCTCCTCAGGGCTTTAAATGTGTGCTTTTTCAGACAGGAAGGTCCTTCTTCCCACCCCATGCATCAGCGTTTGCTTAACCGTATACTACTGTTTATCATTGCTTCATACCATTTCTTCAAAGAAGCTTCCTTGGAGTCCCTCAGACTCTGTTCTGGTCTGTGAATTTCTTTTTACCTCCTTTCCTCATATGTCTGTTGAGCCTTAGGAATGAGACACTCAAAAGCTTTAGTAAGCTTGAACACATGGTGGCACTTGTCAACTCCAGGCTTTATAGAAGAGTGATCTTGCTGAACCATTTTATTGGCCAATCCCAGATGTTAGCAACCATCTGGACAGGTCAGGTTCCTCAGAGAAGACTCTCATCCTTCTTCCCAAAGGGTGAAAGTTTGGCTGCCAGTATTCCAGAAACCATGTCAATCAAGACTAATGGGAGTCTCAACATTTAGTATGTAAATATTTACTCAGTCCTCCTGTTCTCAGTAAGTCTCTATATTAGTTTCCTATTGCTGGTCTAACAGATTACCACACCCTGAGTAGCTTAACACAATATACTTCTATTATCTTCTAATTCTATAATTAGAGTCTAAAATGATTTCACTGGAATAAAATCAAGGCATCAGCTGGGGTGGGTTTCTTTTTGCAGCTTCTTAGGAGAATCCATTTCACTGCCCTTTCCAGCTTCTAGAGGCCACCCACTCTCCTTGGTTCGTGCCCTCCCCCCCCCCCCACCATCTTCAAAGACAACAGTAGCAGTCAAGTCCTTCTCATGCCACTATCTCTCTCGCCTCCATTTTCTGCTTCCCTCTTCCATTTATAAGGACACTTGTGATTACATTGGGGCACCCAGATCATCCAGGATAGTCTCCCAAATCAAGGCCTACTAATTAACACCCCTAATTCTACATGCAACCTTAATTCCTTTTTACCATGTAACCTAATATCGTCATAGGTTCTTGGGACTAGGATACAGTCATTTTGGGGTCCATTACTTTGCTGACTGCAGCATCGCAGTCCTCAGTTGTGCCTAGTCTATCAACAAGTCCAGAGACCTTTGGTTTTATCCTCTTCATAAACTGTATCTGTTTCCTCTGTGTCAATATATAAAGGGGGTGGCAATTAATGACTAGAAAGACTGGGGAATAAGTTTTGAGGGTCTAACTACACTTCTTAAAGAGAATTTCAACAAATCCTCTTGTTTTTATCTCTACCTCCCCTGTCTTTTATAAATGTCTAGTATATATACAAAATATACCAATTCCTGAGACTTTGGAAGATTTCTGGATTATATTAGTACACTGAGTTGCTTCTTGGCTTTCTCCACAGCCAGTTTGGGGATTCAGCTTTCTCAGATGCCTTTAACTCAGTTGCCACTCATCTGTTTCCTTTCCAGCTTCCAAAATGTTGTTACTTCTCTTTAGTTCTTTACCCTTGCGGGTTTGTCCCTTTGTGATAGATTGATGCAAAAACATCTCTAATTATTCCCCTTCTCATAGTCATGTAAATTTTCAGTTCCTCTGATTAAGATATGGAGCCAATTTTTTCATCTTTTAAATCTAGATAGGCCTTATAACAGGCTTGAGCCAAGAGAATTAGGCAGAAGATACCATGTGTTAGACCTGTTAGAAGACCTTACACTTTTCCACTCACTTTCTTGAGATCCCCTCCTTTTCCATATGAACAAGCCCAGCCT